CATTTATCTAGGTCTCTCTTGGTTTCTTGCAGTAGTTTTTTTGTAGTTTTCTTTGTGTAAGTCTTTTACATCCCTGGTTAGATTTATTCCTAAGCATTTTATCTTTTGGGGGGCTATTGTAAATTGTATTGTTTTCCTGATTTCCTTTTCACAGTTGTCTTTGTTGATATAGAGGAATCCAACTGAATTTTGTGTTAAGCTTGTATCCTGCCACTTCGCTGAATGCTTCTGTTAGTTCCAGTAGCTTTCCTGTGGAGTCCTTAGGATTTTCTGTCTATAGAATCATATCACCTGTGAATAGGGATAATTTTATTTCTTCCTTACCAATGTGGATGCCCTTTATTTCCTTTTCTTGCCTTATTGCCCTCACTAGAACTTCCAGTACAATGTTGAATAAGAGTGGTGATAAACGGGCATCCTTCTCTGGTTCTTGTTCTCAGGAATGCTTTCAGATTCTCTCCGTTGAGTATAATGTTGGTTTTGTATAAATTCCCTTTATTATCTTGAGGAATTTCCCTTCAATTCCTATTTTGCTGAGAGTTTTTATCAGGAATGGGTGTTAAACTTTATCAAATGCCTTTTCTGCATCAACTGATATGATCATGTGATTCTTCTCCTTTATTTATGTGGTGGGTTGATTGATTTGTAATGTTGAACCAACTTTGCATGCCTGGTATGACTCCCACTTGGTCATGATGTATTATTTTTTTGATATGCTGTTGTATTCTATTGGCTAGGATTTTGTTGAGAATTTTTGCATCTATATTCATGAGAAATATTGGTCTGTAGTTTTATTTTTTAGTGGTATCCTTGCCTGGCTTTCGTATTAGGGTTATGCTGACTTCATAGAATGAGTTCGGGAGTATTCCTTTTTTTATGTTCTGGAATAGTTTCAGTAATGGTGTCAACTCTTCTCTGAACATTTGCTAGAATGCTCCAGTGAAGCTGACTGGACCAGGGCGTTTTTTGATTGATTTTTTATGGTCCCTTCAGTTTCTTCAGTGGTTAAGACTCTGCTGGTGACCAAAAAGTCAGCAGTTCAAATCTACCAGCTGCTCCTTGGAAACCGTGTGGGACAGGTTTTATTCTCTCTTATAGGGTCGCTATGAGTCAGAATCGACTTGATGGCAGTGGGTTTGGTGTTTTTCTTTTTTTTCAATTTCTTCGTTATGAGTCTGTTCAGATTTTCTACTTCAGTTTGTATTAGTTTAGGTAGGTGGTGTTTCTAGAAATTTGTCAATTTCCTCTAGGTTTTCAAATTTGTTGGAGTACAGTTTGTCATAGTATCCTCTTACGATCCTTTTTGTTTCAGTTGGTTCTATTGTAATATCACCCATCTCGTTTCATTTTTGGGTTATTTCCATCTTGTTTTTCTTTGCATCTTGGTTTTCTTTTGTCATTTTAGTCAGTGGTTTGTCAATTTTATTAATCCTTTTAAAAAAAATCAGCTTTTAGTCTTGATTCTTTCTGTTGTTTTTCTGTTCTCTGCTTCATTTATTTCTATTTTTTTTCTGGCAACTGTGGGCTTCTTTTGCTGCTCTCTAATTGTTCAAGTTGTAGGGTTAATGTTTTTTGTCCATCTTTTTTGATACGTTTATTGCTATAAATTGACTTCTGAGCACTGCTTTTGCTGTGTCCCAAAGGTTTTGGTATGTTATGTTTTCATTCTCATTTGATTCTAGGAATTGATCTTTGATTTCAGTAGTTTTTTTTTCCTTGCTCTTCCTGTTATTGATTTCTGCTTTATAGCGTTGTGGTCAGAGAAGATGCTTTGCATTATTTCCATGTGTTTGAGTTTGTTTAGGCTTGCTCTGTGGCCTAAAATGTGGTCTGTTCTGGAGAATGTTCCATGGGCATTAGAGAAGAATGTGTACTCTGCCACTGTTGGCTGATGGGCTCTGTATATGTCTGTGAGGTCAACTTGGTTGACTGGTATTCATATCTTCTGTCTTTGCTCAGTTTCTTTCTAGTTGTTCAGTCCTTCATCAAGAGTGGTGTATTAAGTGTTTTCCTAGTATTATTGTGGAAGTGTCTCTTTTTTCAGTGCTGTTAGTTTTATGTATTTTGGAGCTCTGTCATTGGGTGTATATATATATATATATTTATTATGGTTATGTCCTAGTGGTGCAATGACCCTTTAATCATTATATAAAGCCCTTCCTTGTCTTTTATAGTGGATTTTGCTTTAAAATGTATTTTATCAGAGATTAGAATTGGCACTTCTGCTCTTTTTTGGTTATTGTTTGTTTGATACATCTTTTTCCATTCTTTTAGTTTATTTATATCTTTGCATCTAAGGTGTATCTCTTGCAGACAGCATATCAATGGGTCATGTTTTTTAATCCATTTCGCCATTAGGCCATTTACATTCAGTGTGATTATTGATAGGTATGAGTTTATTACTGTCATTTTTTGGGGGGTGTTGACTTTCTTCATTCCACTTAATTTTCTGTGCTGAGTCTTCATGATTTTCTTCTTTTATATTCTGATGAGTAGGTTTGTTGACTCTGTGGTTACCCTGAAATTTACCTGTATCTTCCTACGTTTAAAGCAGTAAGTTATTTCTTGATGTTGCTTTGACTTCTTCATATGGAAGTTCTAAGTTTTAAACCTATATCCTTTATTCCCTCCCTTTATGTTTTTGTCAGTTATAGATTGACATCTCTGGTTCCCTGTTTTCAGTCTTTCAGCTTTATTTTTGAGAGTTCTTTATCTAGGTTGATAGCTGGCTGATGTTGTCATGTTTTAATCTCAGGTTGTTGTCTGGTGTGTTGTTAGTTTTCTGTCCAAATGACTCCCTGTAATATTTCTTGTAAAACTGGTCTGGTTTTTACAAATTCCTTTAGTAGACATGTTCTAATTTCACCATTATATTTGAGGGATAATTTTGCTGGATATGTAATTCTTGGTTGGCAGTTTTATTATCCCATTGCCTTCTTGCCTGCATGGCTTCTGCTGAGTAATCAGAACTGAAGTCTTACCGGTGCCCCTTTGTAGGTGATTTTTTGTTTTTCCTGAGCTGCTTTCAGGATTCTTTGATTATGGTATGTCTCAGTGTTCTTCTATTGGGATCTATCCTGTATTGGGTTCATTGTGTTTCTTGTATGGTCGTCTTCTCGTCTTTCATGATATTTTAGGCAAGTTTTCTGTCAGTATATCTTCAAGAATTCTGTCTGTGCTTTTTGCTGATTCGTCCCCTTCTGGGATTCCAGTTATGCATAAGTTATTTCTCTTGATGGTGTCCCACATAACTCTTAGGCTTTCTTCATTGTTTTGATTGTTCCCCGAACACACTAGAGTCAAGGGATTGATCTTCTGTTCCGCTGATCCTGTCTTCTGTTGTTTCAGTTCTACTCCTATCACTTTTCCATTGTGTTGTCAATTTCTGCAACTTTATTGTTAAGCTTGTGGATTTCTAATTGCCATTTCTGTATCATTTCCAGTTGTCTATTTTGTCATTTTGTTTTTGCATTGTTTTCCTGAATTCTAGTGTTTTGTCTGTGTTTTCTTTGATTCCTTTGAGGACCCTATACATAAACCTTTTGAAATTGTCAGGAAGATCCATTACCTTTTCTTTCTCAGGGAGGATTTCTGGTTCTTTATTATAGTCACTTGCTGAGGCCATCTTTGCCCTGCTTCTGTAGGTGGTTTGCTATTGTCTGTTGTCTCCAGGACATTAAGTGGTTATTGTGCTTATTTTTTATTTGTATAATTGTTTGCTGGGTCCCGTTTTATGTTTTGCTTCGTTTTTATGATTCCTGGCTGGACTGGCCATGCTGGAGCCCTCCCATGGAGTGGCAGGTAGGTGTGGGAGCTCAGATCTCTGTTTACTGATCTTGTGGGGCAGCTGAGGGTAGGTTGGTTGGGCTTTGGCCTCTGATTTGGTGGCTCAGGAGTGTGAAATGATGCTCTCCATGCAGGTGGAGAAGCCGATGTGCTGGGAGAGTAGGGGGGCACGCTCATTACCTCTCGCTGGTTGCAGAGGGGAGATGGGAATGGTTGGGGGAGTGGCAGAGGGATGTTCACACAGTCGCTCTACCTCCTCCTGGGCAGGGGAAGGGAGGAAGAACAGCAGGTGGACACTCAAGTCAGTCTTGCTGCATCTGTTCCTGAGGTCATGGGCTGCTGCTCCCAAGTATCTCTGGTTCTGGATCTGGTACCATCCCTGTTTTGTCTTTGCTTCTTTCTGTGTCTGTTGAGGTTCTGTATCCTTTTCAGGGAAGTCATGAAGTTGCCTTGCTGTTTTCTCCACCCAAGGTCACGGTTTTGTCCTAAGTTAGCTGCAGTGGACCAGGACAGCTGGCCGAGCTCCACTGTTCCATGTTATTTTCTTTTTTGGTTGCTTTCCTTATTCCTTCCAATCATTGTTCAGTTCAGTCCTTAGACTTTCTTTCTTGATGTTCAGGGTCCCTGGATTGTTACCTGCTTCTGTTGGTCTTTGGTTGGCGGGGGGATGCTATGGTACATGCATGTGACTAAGCTGCCATCTTGCCCATATTCTGTAATGGTAAATGTTCTAGAGTTTGTGTGTGTGGTGGGGGGAGACTGGACTCTTGTATTCTAGCAGTTATTGTTCTAGGCTGATGGTATGTGTTCTTTCCACTTAATAACTTGCTTGTCAATTTAATACCTAGACAAAGAGAATCAAAAATAATACTGACTCACTGGAGTCCCAAGCTCTTAATAACAACTTCTTGTTTCCATTAATGTACAATATTTGCTTTTGCTCATTAAGCCTCGTTAGAACTGATAAGTAATCTGATAACCATGTTGTATGATTCAGAAGATACAGAGTAATACCCAGCTCAGATTTTTAATGTATGTGATTTTTTGAACCTCATAGATGCTACTGTAGTCCAAGAAGACTGCTGGGCAGATGCCTGAAGCAACAAAAGGGGCTAGGACTGGGTAACTCCTTTAGGCTGGAACACAACTGGAAGAACAGTATACACTGGTATTTAAAAACAATTACACATGTTTAACTTCTCTCTCCCTTACAGGATTTCTCATCTTATTTATCAGATGGACTACATTTATCACCAAAGGGAAATGAATTTCTGTTCTCACACCTTTGGCCTTTGTTAGAGAAGAAGACCTCTTCCCTGCCTTTGCTTCTTCCTTACTGGCGGGATGTAGCAGAAGCATAACCTGAACTCAGTCTTTTGGGAGATGGGGACCATTAAGTGAATCACAGAAAACTCAAGTTGGGTTGCTAATTTACAGAAATGTGAAGTTGCCAGTGTACAGACTTTCCAAGAAGAGCAATCAAATTCAAAAATACTTTTCTCAAGCTTAAACTTTGGCTTATGACCCTAGACCAAAAAAACACATTTGCCACCAATATTAATAATTAATAAAAGCACTAGGATTTTTCAGGGAAGCTTTGTACTTGGGTGCATTGTGTTTCGATATTATTAAATATTTACTGATTGATGCAGGTACCATCAGTGCCACCGCTACAAAATACACCTGAGCAGCTGCTTAATGCTGTAAATGGCAAAAAAAATAAGACAGTTTTTTGAAAAGATAATTTTATAAAAAATGGGTTTCTTACATTCTGTTGGGAACTGTTGCGCTTTCATACATACACCCACACACCCCACTCACCTTATATCAAATTGCAAAAGTAACTAAAATATAAGAATATTGTGAATAGTTAAAAGATAGCAAATACCATAAGGTACAAGTTCAAGTATTAGTGTAACAAATATCCACATAACAAACATCCTTAGGAAAAAGACATGATTTGTCACAGGTTTGGTTAGTTGCCCTCAAAGTTTACTGGTTACTCAGTTAGAATGTATTGGCTGCTGAGCACATTTCAGTACTTAACTATAATTTTATGGAAATCAAAATTCAATGTGGTGATCCTTCACACAGTAAATGCAGACCATCCAGAATCCTGAAGCACTACAAGAAGTAATGCAAATATCCATTTAAGGGTCAGTAAAAAGGGTATGTAAAGTATCAGCTGCTATAGGATAAGCCCCAGCCTCACAGGAGGGCAGCATCCCTGACTGGAACAGCACACCTTGTCCACCCAAGACCACCTGTGTTCTTTTGGTAAGAAATACTTCACTCCATCTCATCCACTACTGTTTGGAAATAAGCAACCATACTCTTTAAGTAGCTGGTGAATTTTTTTAAGAGCATGGCCATAATACTAGGGATGCATTAAGATACTTACAAAACACAGAAAAAAATGCCCAGCAAATTGGAGCCCTAAGCAGTTGGCAGGATTCTGGAAATGCAATCAGCTATTATTATTTGTAACCCTCACTATAAGCTAGATTGTTTTAATTCTAAAAGATACTAACAGAATTATGAAAAGACATATTAACCCAAATTATTTCTAAATTTAGATGTGTAATTCTCCCTGCTGCTAAAAGCTCTGGGTAAAACCTAGAAATAGAATGCATATTTTGGAGATAGTTTATTAACTAGTTTTATCTCAAAGATTCTTTGTCTTTACTTGAAGGCAAAAAATAAATAGGTTTATTCTGTGTTCCAGTTGTTTTCACAAATAACTGCTAAATACCTCATTCAGCGGATCATTACAGTGTATAAAAAAAAAAAAAAAATCCCCCAATCAGTGCTATTACCAGTATAAAAGGTTAATTTACAAAAACGTAAATATTCGCAACCTAATCCAGCTGTATTTTCTACTTTTGCACCACAGTTTGAAGGATATTTTAAAAATCAAAACAACTAAAACCTGAAAGGCTCAAAATAAGCTAGATTCACCTTACCTCTTCAGAAGGAAAAAGGCCTAACCACACGGTATTATTTACGTGAAGGAAGTTTAAACACATGACCAGCATCTGCTGTTAAGTCACTTCCTTATTTCTCCCACATCTTCACAAAACATATGCAGTGATTTTAGGTCAAATCTATAAAAATATTTTGCACACTTTGATCAAAGAGCTTAGAAAGTAAATCTCTAAACTAGCACTCTGTTTCTTTGCTGTCAACACGATTCTGCCGCTGTAATTTAAAAGACGAGGCCTTCTCACTTCTCGTGACAGGATGGTCCGTGAGATCTTCAAAAGACTTCGCAGCTGTGCTGTTTGGGAAAGGGTCCTTCTCAAACACATCTCCATCAACGTGGGAGTCGGTGCTGGGGTCTTCCTGGATGGTGTCCATCCTCTGGTGGTCCAGTTTCGGAGCCACGGGCACTGGGGGCATCACTGGGCTGGGCTGCAGGGGCTGGAGGCGGCCAGGAGCCTGGGGCGTAGGGAATGGTTTAACAATGCGAACCGATGCTGAATCCATGCTACTGAGCATTTCAACATTCTGAAAAGACATAGGTTTAGTTGATACCAGAGAAGATGAATCGAAGTTCCTAGTTCCAACCTTACCCACCAAACTGCTCTCACCCTGTCGTCCACACTGCAACCCCTTGGGCTGAGTAAAGCGCTAAGTGAGAGCTCACTCAACCCAAAAAGTGACTCAGATAGCTTTCAAATGTCCTGTCAATTTACCATTTTGAGGACCCAAAAGAGAATGCAAGAAACAAACCTATCAAGATTCCAAGACAGGAAAAGATCTCAAAATATCAACTAATGAAGTACTGAACAGCTAAATTGTTCCTTATGGCTGTGAGAGGGAAGGGGTAGAACAGCATTTCTCTTTTTAAATCTCCATCCATGCAACTAAAGGTCATCGCTGATCTTCTCAGGAGAGGCTTCCTGCTGCAATGTGACCTTCCACGAGCAGGGGGAAGGCTCAGCTCTAGAGGCTGAGGGCTCCTGCCAGGTGACCAACTGAAGGTCTACATGGAATCAGAGGTCACTCACTTTGCTTAAGAGGGTCTTAAAGTGCAACTGAAAATGTTCTTTCAGGTGGTATACTTACACTGGGGTTAAACAGAGACAGTGATTCATACTGCTTATCCAATTTCTTATCCTAGAAAAGAATAGGAAGGAAAAGGGTCATTCCTACAAACAAAATTCAGTTACTAAGCTCCCATTTCTTACAGGTTACTGCTAATAGTAAATGAAGAACTTAAAACTTCAGTTGTAGAAGGGTACGCAGGTTCAACAGATGACAATGAATTTCTCAAGAAGTTCTACCACCAGTCTGAATTGTTTGCACTCAAGAAAAGAAATACATTTTTTGGCATTAAGTTCAAAAATAGGCAAGGTTTAAGTGCTGTTTTTCAGAGATCTCTCTCCCTATGGGCAGGAACACAACAAGGGCATTTCCTGTTGAGTGGTCAGAACAGAGTACCAGCTCTGACCCACCAACTAAAGGGGCAGCTGGCAAGAAGGCTTAAGGTGGGCTGAACTCAAGAGTCTCACTCAGCACTGACTTCACTGCCCCAGCCCACCACGGCCTTACATTCTTCTCAGCTGTTTTCATAGCTTCTGTGGCCCACAACTGGTGGGGAGGTTTCTGTTGGAGGAACTGGGCCTAAGGTTTCTACCTCATACTTTTGCAAAAGGCTGACACGTGGCCATCACTGCCCCCATCCATGCCAGTAGCCAAAGTATAACAGGTGACAAAGGGCAAAGCAGGAGGCCAAGCTCAAGAACCACAGCCTCAGCTTCGAGTCTGGCTGCCATGAATACGTCTATGGCCAGAAGTAAGTCGCCACCCTTCCTCATGTCCCTTGCTCTGCAATCAAGGATCATGCTTCACAGTCCACAATGCATATTTCATTGTAAACAAAGGAGGTTCCACTCCCAAGTAAGAGCAATCAAATGGATGGCAGTTTCATCCAGAGACACAGCTTCATCTGTCAAAGCCTCAACATGTCACCTTTAAACAGCTCTGTTCTAGCAGGGGCGGGTGCTCCCTAGAGACTCTCCTCACCCAACGTGCTCACCACGCTGAGGAAGAGATGCTCAGTGAGATGGTCCACTGGCAAGAGAAGCCAGTGGGAAAAGGAAAGGAGAAGGAGGCAGAAGGCATGACAGAAAGTTCTTACCATCAGAGTTAGCTGGGCCTGAATTTTTCAAGTGCTCATAAAAGGGGCGCCATGAAAGCACTTTAGAATACAAGTCTGGAAGCCTAGGTCTGATTTCTTCATCTCTAGAGCAGACAAATCTCCATTTTCTCATAGAAAGAAGGTGAATGTATTTTTCAGAAAATTTTTAAAGGGCCTCAAGCTCATGAGGTACCTGGAGTTCTGTTACTCATTGGGAAGAAGAATAAAAAAGACTGCTCACCATTAACTGGGAAGATGTGACTACCCTGTACAACAATGCCAAGAATCTATGGGTAACATCTTTGCAATGATGATGCTTGCTATCTGCACTACTGTAAGAAACTGAGCCTGAAAATGCTATTGTTTGGAGGCTTTACTCATCAGAGGTCCTAAGCTAAAGTCCAGTTAAACAGATTCCTGTGCTTGTTAAAAGTATAAATTCCTCAAAAATTATACATTAGAATAAAACACCCACAAAAAATACAGTTCTTTTAAAAGACTATTAGCTAAGTTTGTTAAAAGATGTTTTCCTAAGGATGGCACCAAAAAATGTCACTGGAAACATCAAGGTTAGATTTCGCTAAGAACAAATTATACCCGTTCAGAAGACTGTATGGTTGGAATTGGTCAATTTTAATAAAATGTTTAAGTGCTTAAAAATTGTGACTTACCACACAATGAACCAGAATGCTGAAAGGAATCCAAAACAGCAAGGAGAAAACCAGGACTGAACCCACGATGTTGTCTGCTAAAAACTTCCCTGTGAACAAATGCAAACACTGAATGTCTTGGTCAAGTACTATACAAATCTAAAATTCAATGCTCTTAGAATATTATCATTGTGTTAAATGGCACAGAGTTGCTGGCTAGATGATACCACCGACGCAGTACTGAGAACAGTGTCAATGGCTCCTATATTAGACCTGACCATCTCTCCAAACCAACAAGTGCTTTAAAAGACATAGCCCTGATAGGCTTGCTGATAAGGCCAGACTACAAAGTCTTTAACATTATTACCTGGAGTAAATGTGTCAACAGACTAACATGGAATACTACTTATTACTAGTAATGACTGCTTAAGAAGACAAGGTTTTTACGCTCTGGGTATTACTCTTGTTACTAAACTCTAAATTATGGACTCTAGAGGACATAAACATCCTTGCTTCTGCAAAAATCTGAGGACTAACTTTAAAAGAAATGATTCTTAAACAGGATTCAGACTTACAACTGACTGAACGATACATATGCTTATCATGTGTTCATTTCTTAGTAAAGAAGGAAGCAGATATTTTGACTAAAGTATTGATTTCCCTTGTCTGAACATTTGTGCATCCCAACTACACAGGGAGAGACCTATAATGAGTCCATTTTATTCTAGCCAACACGGTTGTTTTATAACAAAAGTGGTATTTCTGTCTTCTATTTCAGGATTACAGCATATCACCCTGAATCCACACTTTTCTAATGTCATCACAGAAATCAGCTCAGTTCTAAGCAAAGAACCACTTAGGGAAATCACCTACCGAAAGTATTGATGCTAAGCTGGTCAATGAAATCCCAGAATCGCTCAATTACATCCTGCACTCGTTTCTCACATTTGCCCTATGAAAAGAAAACAGCATTACCCCTAAACACAATGCATTTAGAAGCAACGTGGCTTTGTAAACGTAATTTATATGTAAAGGGCTTCATAAAAATCAAACATTCAAGGGCCCATCTTTGACACTGGGTAATTAAGTATTATAGGTACCTAAGAAAGTAGGATATACTGTCATTGGCACTTTCACAATTAGTCAATTTTTATAACTAAGTTTAAAATTATTGGGACACAAAACACAAGAAAAGCTAGTTTATTAAAGACGGGGCCATTCCAGCAAGGACTGTAATGATAACATACACGCACAAAGTGAACAGGAAAAAACACAGCAAGGCTTCCTAAAGAATCCTCTCTGAACTTTAAAAAAATTACGTTTCTGTAGTGAAAAAGGGTCTGACTTAGGTGAGTCAAGCAGCCTTCTAGGTCCTTCCTAGTCATTCAGCACCTGTTTCAAAATCACAACTTGAACAACTTTGCAATCCTTTATAATTATCCTAAGAAAGAGATAACCAGGACCCTGTTATGGACTGAATTATGTCCCCCCAAAATATGTGTTGTGAATCCTAACCTCTATGCCTGTGGTTATAACCCCATTTGGGAATGGGCTGTCTTTGTTATGTTAATGAGGCAGGATTAATATAGAGTATTATCCTGAGTCAATCTCCTGAGATATAAAAGAGAGTAAACAAGCGAGCAGAGGAGAGATGGGGTAAAACAGATGCCAAGACATATGGAGATCCCCAAGGAACCAAGAAGCAGAACGTGAAGAGACAAGGACCTTCCTCCAGAGGCGACAGAGAGAAAAAGCCTTCCCCTAGAGCTGGCACCCTGAATTCAGACTTATAGCCTCCTAAACTATGAGAAAATACATTTGTTTGTCAAAGCCACTCACTTATGGTATTTCTATTATAGCAGCACTAGATAACTAAGACAGACCTACTGCCTAAAAACAACTTTTCAAAAAGTACCAGACAAGGACTGAGTCCCCTGCTAAGGAGAGATCATACCCAGTTACCTGAAAGCACCTGGCCTTTTCCTTTTAAATAATATTCATA